TTACTGATGTTAGGTCCCTCTTTACTTCTGGTATCCCTATCATGGGTCCTCATCAGAATGCCATCCTTACATCAGGTGTTCCCATCAGAGTGTCTCTTTACATCATGTGTCCCCAACAGAGTGTCCCCTTGCTTCGACTGTCTGCATTAGAGTACCTCCTTACAGCAACTGCCCACATCGAAGTGCCTCCTTACATCAACTGTCCCCATTAAAGCTCCCTTACATCAATTGACCCGGTGCCTGCTGTCCTGCCAGATGACCCGGTGCCCACTGTTCTGCCAGATGACCTGGTGCCCGCTGTCCTGCCAGATGACCCGGTGACCGCTGTCCTGCCAGCTGACCCGGTGTGCCCGCTGTCGAGCCTGATGCCGGTGCCCGCTGTCCAGCCTGATGCCTCGGTGCCCGCTGTTCAGCCTGATGCCCTGATGCCTGATGACCCAGTGTACACTGCCCAGCCTGATGATCCTACCCAGCCTGATGACCCTACCCAGCTTGATGACCCTACCCAGCCTGATGATCCTACCCAGCCTGATGATCCTACCCAGCCTAATGATCCTATCTAGCCTGATGGTCTGGTGCCCGCTACCCAGCCTAATGATCCTATCCGGCCTGATGACCCGATGCCCGTTATCCAGCCTGATGACCCGATGCCCGCTTTCCGGCCAGATGACCTGATGCCTGTTATCCAGCCGGATGCCCCGGTGTCCGCTATCCAGCCTGATGCCCCGGTGACCGTTATCCAGCCTGATGCCCCGGTGTCCGTTATCTAGCCTGATGCCCCGGTGTCCGTTATCCAGCCTGATGCCCCGGTGTCTGTTATCCAGCCTGATGCCCCAGTGTCCGTTATCCAGCTTGAGGAACCGATAACTACCGCCCAGCTTGATGACCCAGTGCCTGCTGCCTGGCCTGATGACCGATGCCTGCTGCCCAGCCTGATAATCTGGTGCCTGCTGCCCAGCCTGATGACCCGGTGCCTGCTGCCCAGCCTGATGACTCGGTGCCTGCTGCCCATCAACTATCCCCATCAGAGTGTCTCTTTACATTAATTGTGCCCATTAAATTGCCCCTTACATCAACTGTCGCAGTCAGAGTTCCTCTTACATCAATTGTCCCCGTCAGTGTCCCCCTTATATTAATTGTTCCTACCAGAGTGCCCCCTTACAATAATTGTCCCTACCAGAGTGCCCCCTTACGTCAAGTGTCCCCATAAGAGTGCTTCCTTACATTATGTGCCCTCATCTGAATGTCCCCTATATCAATTGTCCCCATCACAGTGTCTCATGGATTGGTGGATGCATTTTTAGAGACCTGGGTGGAGGCACAACTAAAATCTGGGGAGGGCACAGCCCACCCCAGCAACCCCCTAGATTCGGGCCAGTTGTTCAACCAAATATGCACAAGAGTTATACCTAGCGCTTAGTAACAGAACTGGTCTAAAAAAGCCCAACTTGACCAATACTCTGAGGACAAACTTCCCTTCCTGCCCTAAAATGTAGGATCTTGGACTTTCTACTCCCCGGCATCAGTCTCTTGACAGATTGGTAACACAGTCTCTGTAAGGAGCGCTTGGTCCCTTCTAAGTGAATCTCCGCAGACCCCAGCTAGAAAATGCACATCCACCTGGCTGTCTTTGAAGAGTGTCCCACAGCAAGAAAATCTAGAACAGACTTGTAGCACTGTCCCAGGGAAAACTGGTTGGGTATAGCACCTAACAGTCTTTCCTCCTGTAGCGCCAGGGGTGTAAAGGTACTCACACTGTCCTTATGTCCTGTGGCTTTGGATGAACTGCTGGGCTGGTTACCTTCCAGGCTAACATGTTGCCCTTCCTCAGTGGACTGCAGATCAGTGGAACTCCCTCTGTCAGCTTCCTTCTCCCTTACTTCTGACCTCCAGCCTGGAGGCAGAACCTCCCTTCTCTGCAGATCAGTACTTTAGAGCCCTCCAGCCTGACCTGAAGTAAACCCTCTGTCTTTAAACAAGCCTCTAACTACACTTACAAGCTATTTACACCAAAGGGCGCTACATTAGCACAAATTGGTAGCGGACCATAGGGAGATATTAAGGTGTGGAAATTTAATTAGGCTTTTAAAAAATGTCATATATTGCCAGACTTTGGTTATCTTTAGCACATCTCTATCCTACTTCTGTGCCATCAAAAATACCAACATCTTTTTTAAAGTTTTTAAATTGAGAATCTAATATGAGGTACTGCTGGAAGGGTCTTGTCATAAATCTACAGTATTTGTTGAGGTCCAAATATCTGACCTGAAAGTGCACCTTCTCTCCCGCTTATCTGTTGTTGGGAGCACTGGAATAACAATACAAGCTGCTTTATGGACAATAATGGCACTGCATGGACTCACCTTTTTTTCCGTTTCTGTCTCTTGATCAAGATACCAGGATATTTGGGATATCAGGATGAATAATGGATATGGTGCCCACCTAAGACTATTTTTCTGTGACTCCCTGTACATGCTGATGCCTTGAATCCCCGTCTGTGCCGTTAAGGCAATTGATTTTTTGCCTCCATGTCTCTTACTGTCCTGAAGAAGCTAACAAGCAAAACTCACACAGCGACCTTCTGGAGGACAAAATTGCTATAGAGAACATTGTTAATATATTACGCGCTGATAGCCATGTATTGTTCTTAAAAACAAACATATCTTTTTATAATTATACTTAATAAAATCGTAGTGCAATTTCAGATGCAGAGATGGTTTCTTCAATGACCCATCAATACCATAAATGTGCTATTCAGTTGCATGAAATTCAACAGAGAGTGATACTGGAAATACTTTAAATAAGATTTTACTGTACTCTACAGATTTATTTATTACAGGTACGTATATAGCACTGTCAATTTATACAGCACTTTACATACCCGTATTTTTCGCTTCCATAAGACGCACCTGATCATAAGAACGCGCCTAGGTTTTAGAGGAGAAAAACATGAAAAAAAAAATATTCTGAACCAATGGACTGCAGACACAGTACAGGGGATGACCAGAGACTGCGGACAACAGTACAGGGGATGACCAGAGACTGTGCAATAGTACAGGAGATGACCAGTAGGACTGCGGACACAGTACAGGAGATGACCAGAAGACTGCGGACACAGCTACAGGAGAGATGACCAGAGACTGCAGACACAGGTACAGGGGATGACCAGAGACTGAGGACATAGGACAGGAGACGACCAGAGACTGCGGACACAGTACAGGAGATGATGAACCAGAGACTGCGGACACGGTACAGGAGATGACCAGATGACTGCGGACATAGTACAAGGGAATGACCAGAGACTGCGGACATAGTACAGGGAATGACAGAGACTGTGGGACATAGTACAGATGACCAGAGACTGCGGACATCGTACATAGGAATGACCAGAGACTGTGGACATAGTACTGATGACCAGACAGACTGCAGACAGAGAGCAGGGGGATGACCAGAGACTGCAGACAGTAAAGGGAGATTACCATAGACTGCGGACCATTGGGAGTAAAACCAATTAATTTACACGTATTTTTGGATTTTTTTTTAAGCGAAGACATGTCGCAGATCATTACATTTGGCAGGATTTATGACTGAAAATTTGATTTTTACATTTTTTTTTTTTTACTGGACATGTTTTATAGCATAAAAGTTCCAAAATATTGTTTTTTTCTCAAAAATTGTCAGCCTTTTTTTTTATAGCGCAAAAAAATAAAAAACGCCACACACAGGCTATCAAATACCACACCGAAAGAAAGCTCAATTTGTGGGAACAAAAAAAGGGATGTAAATATTCATATATGTACCATATTGCATGACCAAACGTAAACCATGTCCGTTAAACTAGCGCAGTGCTGTAGCAAAAGCAAAAAAATGTGCGTAAATTGCAGTATCAATACACATAGTTTGTAGACGCTTATAACGTTCACAACAAAGCAATCAATATACACTTATTTGGATTTTTTTCACCTAAAAATGTAGCAGAAATACATTTTGGTCTAAATTTATAACTAACTATGAGTTTACTATATATTTTTTATATAGCTGAAGTAAAAAATATCCTTGTTTTTCTTCAAACTTTTTGGTCTTTTTTTGTTTATAGCGTGAAAACAATAAAAAGCCACACAGGAGAACAAATTGCCACCGAAAGAAAGCTCTATTTTGTGAAAAAAGGACGTAGTAAAATTTTGTTTGGGTGCAGCATTTGCATGACCACGTAAGCAATATATCAGTTGAAATTAGTGCAGGCGCCGAGTAGCATAAAAGAGGCCTGGTCAGGAAGGGCAGTAAATATCCTCAGGAGGACAAGTGGTTAACTTGACTCTTTTTGTTATCATTCACCAGTCCAATATAAAAATATTATAAGTAAGTTGCTATATAAAATCATTTAGGTTATGTCTAATTTTCTTTGTTTTGAATGAACGAAATTTCTGGTTCAGATTTTTAGCGCTCTGCTAGCCACGTCCCGGTTATATCAGACGTAAAAGGGGAAGAAAAAAAAGGAGGAAAGGAGGAAAAAGAAGTGCAAATGGGCTTTAGAGGTACAGAAACTCTATACACATTATTAGTAAATGATTTGTATTTTATTTTGACACTCTAATATTTGGACAAAAGGTCCTATGGCACTAAAACTCAACTAACACCAAACAATCTGATTTGTTCACAGAATACACTATGCTACTGCAATTAAATGATTTTTTATTACCACAATCAATACAATCAAGGGGATGAGCAAAGTACTCTTTGACACTTACATGATACGACAACGACCCCCCTAAGTGGGATCAAACATTGTTTCTCACAATATGCGCGCCATTGATAATTGAATGTGATCAATTTGACCAACTGAACACCTTTCAAAACATGAACTAGTTGTTCTAAGTAGAGGAAATGAGTGCTGGAATTATTCAAAAATTGGCCGAATAAATTCGCTTCGAGCCGAATATATTCGCTGCAAGAATTTAACTTATAAAAGAGGGTGTTTCTAGGCTTCAGAGTAGTGCCCTTTATATTAGTGCAGAAACACTTGTACCTTTAATATTTAAATGCCCTTGGAGTCTGCTGGGGAAGAGATAGAAATAATACTGTCAGTCAGTATGACATGCAGAATCGAGTGCCGTCGATCTTAGAATCACCGCACACTTCACTTCATTTGAGGCAGTCTTACCGGGGCCAAGATAAACCAGAGTGTGGAGCCGCCACAGTTTGTGGCGGTGGAGGCAGCAGCAATGGGGAGGCCATACAGCACCCCCTATGACAAAATGGGAAACCCACAGCGCAGTGTGAGGAGACCCTGAAAGTGGCACATGGCAGAGTGTGGCGATGGAGCCCCCCCCCACAGCAGCAATGGGAGGCCGTACAGGGACCCATGACTACACTCTGGACCTGGCAGCAGCATTGGAGGAGGCGGTACAGGGGCCCATGACAGATTACGGGACCTGGCAGAAGCATGAGGAGTCGGTACGGGGGCCCATGGCAGATTACGGGCCTGGCAGCAGCATTTGGGGCGGTACAGGGGCCCATGGCAGAGTGTGCGGAGCGTAAGCAGCTTCAATTAAAGGCCATACAGAGCCTATGTTAAAAAAGTTCCCCCCAGCAAAAAGTGAGCAGCGTGGGGAGGACGACTATCAAGAGTCCAATCGGCAGAGTGGCGGAGCGGAAGCAGCTTCAATTGAAGGCCATACACAGTCCTAGGTTAAATAGTCCCCCCAGCAGCAGTGTGGGGAGGACGACTATCAAGAGTCCAATGGCTAATGGCGATCCGGGAAGTCAGCGTTGTGATTGCAGATGCAATGCAGAAATTTTATGAGGTAATGCCGTGAGGGTGCGAAGAAGATCATATTACGTATTCGTACTTCCATCCATAAGACGGAAAACAACCTGCGAACCAGGGAGCTTTATTGCCCTGACCCGCTGAGCAGCTTCTGGGATAACCCAAGAGCTTTGGCTTCTGTGGGGCAATATGGTTGAAAACTGAAACTTAAAGGCATGTTGACGGAAGGGCACCAGTGTCAGTGCTCCGGAGGGGAATATAGGCTTCTAAAGCTGACACTTAAAGGGTATATCGACGGTCAGAGAGTCACCACAGTGGAAGTGGAGCTCTGCGTATGTCTTAAATCCACTGAATGTGGCAGACGTGAAACGTCTACGGTCCCCCCCCCCCCCCCCCCCCCCCGTATATAAAACGGGTTGTACCTTCCTTCTTTCTGGAATAAGTGTTTGGAAATGGCCACTCTTTTTTGGTTTGGCAGGTTGTTGTGCTAATTTAATGCTTATGTTTCCCTGATAATCAGGACTCTATCTCATCCGTGCAGTGCAATCTAATTAACGGAGACCCTGGGCAGGTCTGGGTCCTCAATTTGTGAGTAGAGGACTGGATTTGTGTCAGCCATGCTTTGAGCGAGTTATAACAGGTTCTGTGCTTGCCACTTTGGGTGTAATGCGCTTAAATGCCGCTACCAAACCACTGAACGTTCCAGAGCATTGTGTCAACGATTTAGCCGTTATGTGATGCAAAACCCGCCTGAACCACGTTCATGGAAGGAGCCGGTACAGGGGGCCCCCCCCCCCATGAATCAGTATGGACCTCTGGACCAGCAGAGTGAGGACGACCCGATAAAGTGGCAGCATGGGCTGCAGGGTGGCGGTTGGATGGCAGCAGTATTCAGATAGACATACACGGGACTAGTGTAAAAAGCGGAAAGCCGTTCGTCAGCAGCCGGAGCAGACGGACAGAGACATGGCGCGCCCTCCGCCTCAGCGCAGGCAGGGTGGCGGTGGAGGGCAGCGATGTATTTGGAAAAAGCCATACTCAGGCCTAGGTTAAAATAAACATGGAAAGCCGTCGAGCAGCAGTGAGCAGCCGACAGACGGCACATGGCACAGGGTGCGCGGTGGTAGGCGCAGTATGCGGAAGCCAGTACACAGGCCTAGTGTTTTAAAACAATGGAACCCGCAGCAAGACGTGAGCAGACGACAATTGACCGCACATGGCAGAGGATGGATCTCGGCAGCAGTATGAGAAGGCGGATACAGGGGGCCGGTGGCCACTAGTTGTGGTGTTGGGGGCTTACAGACCAAATTGGAGGATGACCAGAAAGTGGCCCGATTAGGCGAGATATACTGCATGGAATTATAAAGTTGTAAAGACAGCGGGCCTTTAAGGCTTTACAACACTAATACTATAACAATCATGACTTGATTGACCATTGGGCCTATTAAGGCTATACACAGCACGAATTATAATGACCTTTTTCTGAGAGTGGTTTGGAAGGCTATATACAAAAAGTTTAATTCTCATGGACGCTGTCCGGGTCAGCGGACGACAATAAGTACCATACAATTTATACAAAAATTCAATTAATCAGCTGTCCAGCCTGCGGGTCTCAAAGGTGACCACATTATAGATAAGGCATATATCATGAAGATGTTTCAGGACAGCGGCCTCTAAGGCGGACAGATATACAAAAGCAATTACCGACGGATGTTCAGGGCTGCCGGCCGTGTAACGGTGCTAGGTTATTACTACTAAATACATTTGTTGTGGCCAAACATCGGCACTAATAAATAGATGTCTACACAGTGACATAAAATTATGTCGCCAGGACATGCGGCCCCTAAGGCCGACAGATATACTCAAAGCAATTTCCCGAGGGTGTTCAGTGAGCGGTCTTGAACGGCTAGGTTAATTACTAAATTTATCTTTTGTGGCCAAAACATCCGGCCTATAAATAGAGGGTCTACCTCAGTGACAAAAAAGTAGGTCGCTGACTTACAGCGGCGTATCCTACAAAATTTGACTCTTATAAGTATATGGTTTAGAACAAAAAAAAAAAAAAATCACTTTTGATGCGATTGCTACTACCTTAGGTAGATTGTGGGAAAGTCGACAAGTCAAGAGTAAACCTGGGTGTACATTACAGATAATCTTATACAAGACAACCAAAGCATGTGGCCAAACTGTGATCAGATGACAAACAATCGTTTACACGGTAAGTATACAGGAGGGGGGCAAACCGTGGCCAATAAATAAACAGTCCCACCTCATTGATGAGATGGTCTACTCATACGTGTCAAATAATTGTATATTGAAGTAAAAAATTGGCTATTTACCTATCGCGGTCTGGAAACTGGGTCGTATGTAATTAATTATAATATCGTTTAAATTCATGTGACTGTCGTCCTCGCGATGTATAAATAATTTAAAAAAACACCGTATCCATGAGCGGGCCCGGACCAGCTGTGTATACAGTCAGATTAAAAAGGTTCAATTCATGTGACGGTTTCGTCCAGCGAAGTATTAAATAATTTAAAAAACCCAAAGTCATGTGGGGCGCCCGACCTGCCAGAGCGTCATATGTCATTATAAATGTGGCAACAAAACATGAGACGGCCGACACAGCAGCCTGTCTCAATAATATATATATACAAATGTTACGGATCAAGGTTGAAGATCTTCCATTTGTCCCTAATAAACATGTTTGGGGCATGATTCATGGCGGATTTAGTCAAGTTGTGTCAGGAACTGGTGGTTTGAAATCCAGGGACTAATCCACGCCTGATTCATTTTCACAAAACGTTGAGTCTCTCCACACTTTGGGTGGACAGTCGTGTCCTCCGCGAGTTACAATACCTCCTGCCGCACTAAACACGCGCTCGATGCACGCTACTGGCCGGGCACTTTGACAGCCTTTCAAGGGGCAAATTCAGCTAGTTGGGGCCAAAGGTCAAGTTTCGTTGCCCCAGTAGTCAAGGGGAATTGTCTTACCTCGGTTGGGCAGGGTGCTGTCCAAGTAGGCCCAAGCATGTGTTTGAAGGTCCTGCTCCAGGTCCACCTGATGCTGCTGCTGCTTGCGGTGGTTAGTAGTTTCCTCACTTCGTGGTGAGGAAAGCTACTCATCATCGCCCGCAGACTGAGGCAGCCCCCTGCTGGTGGGAACTACCCAATGCCCTCACCCCCCACCCCTCCCCTGTGCCATGGCCGCGGGAAAGCAGCGCACAAAGGGCCCCCAGTGTCTGAGGATGGACGTTGGCGCCAAAGGGAAAGACCCCCTGACTACATAGGTGGTTTTTTTAGTTTCTTTTTTTTTGGCCTCCCTCTCAGCAGGTGGGGAAAAAGGGGCCCCCATTTTTGAACGGAAACCCAGGGTCCAACAAGGTGGACAAACCAAAAGTCATTTCCCCCTTTTCTATGGTTATTAAATTTGGGTGTCCCCTACCAAGCAAAACCGACATTTCTATGGGGCCAAATTTTGCCAAGGAAAAGCGGGGACCCCCCCGCCCCCCATCTCCACAGCATACTGCCCCCGGTGCGTCTGGGTCCTCTGTTCCACCTCCTCCTCAAAACCCGATGCTCCTGCTCCCCCACTCCTTTCCGCTGAGTGGAAAAACCACCCCTTTCCCCTCAATTTAAATTTCCCGAAACAAACCCAAAGTCCTCCCTTTCCCCCTCCCCTTCTTCCCGTTCCCCCCCCTACAGGGGTCATTGGGGCTTGAGATCTGTGCGCCCCGTCTACCGCACCCTGACCCCCCTTGTTAACGCATTTGTTTTCCCGGCCCTGCAAAAAGAGGGAATGACGTCGTTTTCCCCCTCCCATAGTCCTGCCCACTCACGAATAAACGTTGGGCCCCCTCAAAGGGCCTAGCAAGCGGCAGGGGGTCCCCCGCATGAGCTTCCAATGGGGTGAACTTAAATTACACGGGGAGTTCCTTTTTTAACCCTTGTACATCAGGAAATTTGGGGATGGGCCCTTTTGTGTTCGTAAATGCCCGTTTTAAAATATGTAGGGGGAATTCCCCCCTTGTTTTCAAAAGGGCGCAGATCAGGCGGGCCCCGGGGAAATTTTCCCTTTTCCGCTGCAAGGGGTCAAGGGAAAGGGGGTGCTTTTTCGGTTTTAGGAAGGCTGAAAAAGATGCAAAGTTTTTCGTGACATTTTAAAAGGGTGTCTTCAGTGGGGGTGGTAAAAAATTTTTGGAAACCGCTTTCCAAAACCCGATTGAACACTTGACCCAAGCCTGGCGAAAAGGGGAAAAACCTTTTTGACGCAGAGCAGACACCAATTTTTTTTTCCGGGTTTTCGGTCAAAAATGGGGTTCCCAAATTTTTAAATTTTGCGCGGAGAAAGCCATCTGCGATTTCTCTGTTCATTTCCCAGAAGTTCCCCCCCCCTGTGGACTACGTTTGCCAAGGCAAACCCGGTGCAAACACAGCGTGCACCCCTTGCGCCCGCACATGGATATGCAAGTGATTTAATGGGGGGGGCCTTTGGAACCGGGGGTGGCGGCTGGGGGACCCCGGGGGGAAGAAGAGTTGGGGAAAAGGCGGGCATCTTTGCTGGGGGCCCAAGGGGCTGCAAACGTGGATGCAAAAAAAGGGCGTGACCTTTTTCCAAGTTTTCTGGTACGGTGTGCCCGGGAAACCCCCTTCCACCCCGTTTGGGGCCCTAAATGACATGTCCCGGGCCCTGGGGCCGTAGTTAAAAGCCCCACGTCGGGGCTGCCGTGCACTTTGGCAAAAGACCGACATGCTCAAAGACTGGCCCAACCCCTCTTTAATGTTTAATGCAGGGGTGGCACTTTCCTTTTTTTTTTGGGGAAAGAAAGGGCCCCGGATTGGGCCCCCCCCCCACCGGGGCTCGGGGACAAAACCATCATTTCTCCCGGGAAAGGGGCTGGCCACCCCTTTTGGAAAAAGGGGGGGACTGCAGCACCACAACTTGGACGGGGGAC